AAGAAGGCGGAAGGGTTGCCGCCAGAACAGTACCCGAACCAAGGGGTACGAGCAACTACAATAGACCGAGACAAAGAAGCACGCTACAGGACACAGGCTGAAAAACGCCCAAGAAGTCAAGGAACACACGCAGAATACCCCTGCTGCAGAGGAGGCAGGATGAAAGAGCAGAAGCACAAAAACCACCAGGGGTGGACAATCAGGCAGGGACAGAAAACCCCCACGCACATGAGAGGGCCAAACCAAGTACCCGAAGACCACGAAAAACAACAAGCAAACCCCCATACGCAAACCCCAGGCACCAAACAGCAGCAAAGTGCCACACCACAACCGGACACAGGAACAAGGACACGCCACCGCGAAACACGGCACCAATACACGCGTGCAGTAGCAGCAACAGGCACCACCACAACATGCAACATGTAAATAGCAACTCGCTTCTGCAAAGGCAGAGAACAGAGCAGGCAGACCCCAGACAGGGCCAACGGAGACACGACAAAACCCAGCAGGCCCAGAAACCTGCACACCAGGCGACCGACGGCGGAGAAACCCTGCTCGATACCTGCTGGATGGGGTACTGGGAGCTCATTTACACCCCAAGCCCGGCCCGAGGCCAGGCTCGACCGGCCAGAGGGTGGCCCACCAGGCAGCAGCTAGGAGCGGCCCGCAGGCCAACATACCCCCACAATCAGGATGGGCCGGAACTTCTATTCGAAAACAGGCTAGTGTGCCCCGGAAGTCCACGGACATACCAGCAATAAGGCTTATGCTCGCAAGTAGGTCGTGTAACAACCGCAGACTTCTGATGGTTATACAGTGTTCCCAAACTGTGCCTATAGCACCATTGCACTCCGCTGGTACTATCCCGCAAGTTCTACCAGATAGGCGGGACCCAAGAGCCAGAGCTCAAACCCTGCAAGCACAGCCCGGAGCCTTACCAGGTGAGTACAGAACCAACCCCACAACCCCCACACCTCACAACATTAAAAAAGGTGGGTCCCCTGAATGACTCTAGCATGGGTTGGACATGCACATGAGTGGGACAGGAAGGGTTGAAAAAGGGACAGTCACTGGTGTGCAAACGGTCTCAGTCGTACAAAAATATACCTAAATAAAGACAGGTACATAAACAACACCGCATCCAGCGCCCAGCCAAAAGACGCCAGACCGCAGAAACTCACCTGGCGAACGGTGGCACGAACGTGACAAGACTCACCCGCGCCCAGAAGAACCTGGGAGCACCGCCAGGTGAAGACGCCAGAGCCGGACCCGGCCAGACCCGAAGGAGAGCAGGGTAGAGGCGAAGGAGGCGGCCCACACCCATGACAGGGAAAACCGCGGCGTCCTCCCCACAACTGGGAACCAGGACACCCCCGGAGCGAAGGGGCACATACTGCAGCCAGGGAGAAGAGCGAGAGACGAAGCACTTGAGCAAAAAGGGCCCAAAACACCAGCACTGAAACACACCGCCCAAACCAAAACAAATCACGGCGCATGACACGCTGGCCGAACCGCACAACCCTCTCTGCGGGAAGGCGCCAACCAGGACTACTGCACTAGAAAAGTAGCCAAAAAAGGAAGCAGGAACAATAAAACCGGCCAACAAAGCAAAGACAGAGCGAAAAAGGAACCCAACCGGGCCACAAGTAGCCCAACAAAGCAACAAGTAGCCCAACAGGGCTACAAGTAGCCCAACCAGTCAACAAGTAGCCCAACCGGGCCACAAGTAGCCCAACAGGGCCACAAGTAGCCCAAAACGGCGACAAGGACGAAGAGCTGACAGACGTTCCAATAATGCGGGAAGTAGCGAAAACCTTCCCGAACCCTCGAGAACACAGAAGCCAACACTAGTCCCGAAGGCACACAAAGGCGCAGGCGCACCTGAGACCAGAAGTCAGGTAGAACCCCAAGAACGGGGAAACATGACGAAAACACCGTCCCAAAAAAGGGTGGGAGGAAACATCCACCCACAGGATGGAACCAACCGACTCAAAGGCCAAAGAACCGAGCCCGGGGAGGGGCCGACGCCCAACAGCACGTACGGCGAGTGGGGAGGAAAGACCCCACTCCTCGTAACCACAAGCCCCGCCTAGAGGGGGATAAAAAAAAACCACGGGGTCCAACGGGGCCATGGCCCCCTAAGTCAGCCTCTCCCTAGGCCCGGGAACCTACACGACAGGCCCCGGGGCCGAGCCGTTCCCCCAAAGCCCCGGCCGTACCAGAAAACCGGGGCAGCCGTGAAAACACTAAGGGAGCCTACTGGCAGACTCTTACAACACGGCTGGAAGAACAGGCTCAAATGCCCCCATCACTACCTCGGAAGGGGAATTCCCCGAGACTGCCCGAGTCTCAACACCATCAAAACCCTGCTCCGAACCTATAGACGGTAAGGAATCGGATGCAGGCAGGAAGGGTGATCCAGGGGAAAGACAAGGGGGCGTGGATGGAACCGAAGCAACCAACACCCCCAAGTCCCAAAACGAACCAAAACGGGGCAGCCCCGGGGCTCCCGGGGAGTAAACCACGAGAACGTTGCCACCACCAAGGCTCAAGTGCAACGCCCCTGCTGCCCGCACCCGCTTAGTCAGCACAACTGGGTAACCGAGCCACAACGAGCAACCAAACTCGCAGGACTCCGGGTCGAAGGTGTCACCGACCCCACAGGCAGCAGACGGAGGCAAAACAGAGAGTCACCCAGAGACAAAGGGTGAGAGCAACCCTCAAACTCGCTGGAAGCGAGGGGGGACTCTGGGGTCACATCCATCGGACCCGCGCGCCCCCAGGGGTTTCCCAGGGTCCCGAGCGTTTACTATAAGAGGACTCGCGCTCAGGTAATCCCAGGCAGGGTACTGCTAACCGGCACCCAAAGCTACCAAACAACTTTCTAAGAGCTGAACCCCCGGGACGTGTACACTCACGGGGACCTAGCAGGGGGTACCACCAGAAAATACTCAGAACACAAGGGACACAAGGGGCAAGAACGAAGGCAGACCCCCCCCCCCACCAGGTAGATAAACAAAAAGAAAAAGAAAACCCCGCAAGAGGACAGCGTACCCAAGCGGAACAGAGCCGGCCGCCATGATTGGTAAAGACAAGCTGCACAGTACCCTGCACCCCACCAGTGCAAAAACTGCCCCTTACTCTAAGGCGAACAAGGGAGACAGAACACCCGAGCACACAAAGAGCGCCCGAAAACCAACCAGTAAATGGCTTAGCAAGGGCAGGACCCAAGGAACTTGTAGAAGGTGGCCCCAAGCCCCAAGGGCAGTACTTACAGGGCACCTAGGGAAGGGAACCCTAGGCGCATGCAGCCCAAGTACTGGAGAATCACTCCCGGCTCACGCACCACCTAGAAAACAGACACCACACTCTAGGTACAGCGCTGAAACAACCACTGGAGCTGGAGCACATAACCGGTGCCTATAGCATCAGCCGAAGAACTGATGGGTGGATAGCCGGCGTGGGAGGTCTGGGGCTCCCCCCTTCCCCCTCCTGGGGAGGGGGGAGCTGCGCAGACAGCGGGGCGGTGACTTATGACGTCATACTAGTTTGCTTGTTTTCTGTTGAGGAGTTCTATCCACTAGTTCGGCTTTAGGTAGCAATTTTCACCAGAATAGGGGTTTGTTTTGGAATGCTTACCTTTCTGAATGCTTGACCCGGTCGATGGCAGACATAAAATGCTTCCAACCACACGGGGGTTTCTATAGGCCATTGCTCCCCTTGCCTCTCTGAGGGGGGCCAGGTTCTGGCCGTGGTCCCCGGTAGGCCCTAGAACTCCATACACATGACTGATGCCAAAGTCTGACATTAGCATATCAGCCTGGTAAAGCTCCGGGGAGCCGACGGGGCTCCCCCAGAAAAAAACAGGAACATAGAGCCAAAGTGACAGTGAACACTCTGCATGTTAGCAGTCAAGGAACTAGCTGGTGAACCAGGCCAGCTCCCCTTCCCCCCCACTAGGAGTGGTTGGCGCTAATGAGCAGGGATTAGTTGAGCGAAGTTTTGCTGATTTGTTTTCTTTGTGGGAGAGTTCTTTTGATAATCTGAGGGCGTAAATTGCACTTTCAACCAGGTAGTAGTCTGTTGCCTTCCCTGGTCGATGGCTAGCCTAGCCTAGCCTAGCCTAGCCTAGCCTAGCCTCACCTAACCTCCAGACAACAATATATTTTGGATAAGTCACTCCACAACATTGTCGCTTGGATTGTTGACTTCCTATGACATCACCTACCACTTTGTTTTGTTTAATTTCATTATAAAATTATATTACTTCAGAATTTGTTTTTCATGTCCTACATTCAGCACCAACATTATAGTAAATATATACTGTATTTCTTCTTTACTTATGTAATGCTAGGTAGCTTTGGGTAATTAGATGGATCGGTGAATGGGTACCTGGTTGTTAAATGACTTGGCGGGTTGTATTCCCGGGAAAATTAAGATTAAGGACCTGCTCGAAACGCTGTGTGTGCTAGTGACTTTACAAGAATATAAAAACTCATGTATATAGTTTTTCTTCTTATGCTTACCTGTTACTGAAGTCTGGTTGTTTATTACACCTACCTGGTACTGGTCTGGTAGTTTCTTATATATACCTTTTATTTATTTACTTTATTTATTTATATACTGTATATACAAGACAGAAAAGTGAGTTTATGAGAGTACATAGCATTGATGTTTTTACATTCTTGCAAAACCACTAACACGCATAGCATTTTGGGAAGGTCATTATCCTAAAAGATAATTTTAAGTAGATAATTTGTAGCAAAATTTAAAGAATATTAATAGGTACATTGTAAAAGAAAATGTGAAGAATATTAATACGATTCTTTGCGGCAGGGGATCGTATTCCAGGGACCATAGGATTAAGGACTTGCCCGAAACGCTACGTGTACTAGTGGCTGTACAAGAATGTAACAACTCTTGTATATATATCTCAAAAAAAAAAAAAAAAAAAAGGTAGTTTCTTACATCTACATGGTACTGGGCTGGTAGTTTCTTACATCTACATGGTACTGGGCTGGTAGATTATTACAACTACGTGGTACTGGGCTGGTAGTTTCTTACACATACGTGGTATTGAAACTTGATAGTTTCTGTTACCAACTAGACTCAGTAGATATCAGTAGCGTTATAGTCTTTAGGGAGAAGGCATAGAACCAGCCCCCTTTGTTGTGATTGTTAAACTCAGCATTCATATTTGCTTTGATTTAATATTTCAGAATGAAAAACAGTGTATAGGCATATAAACAAATTATAGCGATAAATATTTATTGATTATTAATACATCATAAGGTGTGGAATGGTAAACTTTGAATTTCAATTATGAATTGAATGTGAAGTGTAGAGCCATCTTGTCGACCTACGAGCGTATGAATGCTGGAGGGAACGTGACGTCACTAAGTTGACGATTATTTTTTTTTTGAGATATTTATTTTTATTTATTTATTTATTTATATACAAGAAGGTACATTGAGAATGGTCGACTTGAGAATGGTCCAGGACGGACCGAAACGTCGTCGTCCCTTCAATTTCTAGTGTGTGGTCTGGTCAACATACTTCAGCCACGTTATTGTGACTCATCGCCTGCACAAGGTACATTGAGTTTGTGAGAATGCATAGCATAGTACAGTAATTACACTCTTGTAAAGCCACTAGTACGCGCAGCGTTTCGGGCAGGTCCTTAATCTAACAGATAATTTTAAGTAGGTAAATTCTATCAGAATTAATAAAATGATAACAAATACATTGCAAGAAAAAAAAAATGAGATGAGAGAGATTAGTAAGTATATTAAAGCACATTGGTATATTAAAGCTCTGATTGATTACATTGACAGCTTGATTGGCAATTTAAACAAGATTAATAGTTAGTTAGTTTAGTTCATTTATTATGCACCCCATACCCATCTTGTGGGCGGTAGTGGAAAGGGTTACAGAGGCACATAATAGGCTCAGGGACTGAACCCCACAATTCATTTAGCTAAGCAAGTTACAATCTTGATGAGCTAGTTACAAAATTCAATATAAGTCGTCACATCAACAATGGGTTCGAGATCGACCTCAAGTACAGGTTCTAAATTAAGCAACTGACATATGTGGAGAGCTAGTGTCAAAATTTATATGTTTGATGTAGACCTGACCAAATGTAAACTGTGTCAACAAAATTATTCGCACACCCTCCGTCACTATGTGATGGAGTGCGAAAAGATACGTGAATTTAGAGACAATTCTATAACCAATGTTCCAGCGATGTGTCAATATTTCATTCAAAATGATCTGCTACCAGAAATTTTAGCCAAATATCCCCAGTTTGCTAACTGTAGGTAGTAACTAAGTGATTGTAACCTATCCACCGCTTCCCACTGGATGGGGGGCGGTGTGCAGGACAAACATATAAATTGTGACACTAGCTCTCCACATATGTCAGTTGCTTAATTTAGAACCTGTATTTGAGGTCGATCTCGAACCCGGCCATTGTTGATGTGATGACTTATATTGAATTTTGTAACTAGCTCATCAAGATTGTAACTTGCTTAGCTAAATGAATTGTGGGGTTCAGTCCCTGAGCCCATTATGTGCCTCTGTAACCCTTTCCACTACCGCCCACAAGATGGGTATGGGGTGCATAATAAATGAACTAAACTGTCCTGCACACTGCCCCCCATCCAGTGGGCAGCAGTGGATAGCTTACAGTCACTTAGTTACTTCCTACAGTTAGCAAACTGGTGATATTTGACCAAGACTTCTGGCAGCATATCACTTTGAATGAAATATTTACACATCGCTGGAACATTGGTTATAGAATTGTCTCTAAATTCACGTATCTTTTCGCACTCCATCACATAGTGACGGAGGGTGTGCGAATAATTTTGTTGACACAGTTTACATTTGGTCAGGTCTACATCGGCAGATAATGAGAATTCCCAGAGATACTTGTAACCGAGTCTAAGCCGAGCAGTAAAAAAAAAAAAAAAAAAACATGTTTAGGGAGTAACATGTTTAGTAGTAACATCTAGAAGTCTGCTGATTCTATTGGATGATCCATAGATGTGTGGCTCCTCTTGCATGATAGTATGATGATAGATGGAATTACTGGTGTCAATTTCACTTTGCCTCAGATCTACAAGATCTTGTTGAAGTTCTCGGTGTACTGCTGCTCTCAGATTGCTCATTGACAATCCAAGGTTACACTCAACGGCTCCTTTAAAGGCAGATTCTTTGGCTAACTTATCAGCTCTATGATGCATTCGGAGGCCAACATGAGATGGAGGCCACATGAATTGGACTCTGTTACCATCCTTAATAATTTTGTTGTATTTGTGTCTAGCTTTGGACACGAGCATGTTACAGTTATGTCTTAAAGTGTTGAGAGCATTTAAGGATGATAAGGAGTCACTTTTCAATGATGGAAAGTTTCTCGGCCTATTCCTAGACAAGAGACTCAACTTCAGTACCCACATACAACACATAACTAAGAAAGTCTCTAAAACAGTTGGTATACTCTCCAAAAGGAGATATTATGTACCTAACTCTGCTCTCATCTCTCTATATTATGCACTAATCTATCCCTATCTTAATTATGGTATCTGTGCATGGGGTTCAACCACTGCAAACCACCTCAAGCCCATTATCACCCAGCAAAAATCTGCTATCAGAATAATAACAAATTCTGCTTTCAGACAATAGAACATCACTTTTCACAATAGAACATCACATCACAATTACTACATCCTATTTGGAAGCAAATCTACAAATGCAATTCAGCTTCAGATAGACAATGTAAACATTAGTAATAAAAATGATGGAAAGTTTCTTGGCATATTCCTAGACAAGAGACTCAACTTCAGTACCCACATACAACACATAACTAAGAAAGTCTCTAAAACAGTTGGTATACTCTCCAAAATCAGATATTATGTACCTAACTCTGCTCTCATCTCTCTATATTATGCACTAATCTATCCCTATCTCAACTATGGTATCTGTGCATAGGGTTCAACCACTGCAAACCACCTCAAGTCCATCATCACCCAGCAAAAATCTGCTATCAGAATAATATCAAATTCTGCTTTCAGACAACACTCAGCTCCCTTGTTTAACTCCCTAAACTTGCTAAACATAATCTCACTCCATAAATTCTCTTGTGTCAACTACATTTACAAAACCCTGTTCTTAAATGCAAATCCTTGTCTGAAACTCTTCCTGGACAGATGTAAGAGGACCCATTATCACCACACCAGAAATAAATATCTCTTTGATATCCCCAGAGTTAAACTTAATCTGTGTAAACACTCTATGCAAATAAAGGGACCCAGTTTATGGAACTCACTCCCTACTGAATTGAAAAGCTGTCCAACTTTTACATCATTCAAAATCAATACTAAAAAGTACCTAATTTCATCTTCATAGTTTTTCAATTTTTGCCTTAAAATTGCACTGTATCTATTGCTACTCAATCTCCCAACCTTTATGTTCCCAATTTGAACATCTTTACCATTGTGATCATTGCTGTCTTCTTATATGTGCTGCCAATCTGTTTGTATGGTGTTTATAAATCTTGTTTATCTGTACCTTTTGCTACCCAGTCTCCCAATCTTTATGTACCCAATCTGAACATCTTTTCCATTGTGATCATTGCTGTCTTATATGTGCTGTCAATCTGCTGTATGGTGTCTATTAATCTTGTTTTAAATTACTAATCAAGCTGTCAATGTAATCAATCAGAGCTTTAATATAACAATGTGCTTTAATATACTTACTAAGCTCTCTCATCTCATTTTTCTCTTGCAATGTATCTTTATCATTTATCAATTCTGATAGAAATTACCTACTTAAAATTATCTGCTAGATTAAGGACCTGCCCGAAACGCTGCGCGTACTAGTGGCTTTACAAGAATGTAAATACTGTCCTATCCAATGTATTCTCACAAACCCAATGTACCTTCTTGTATATATATAAATAAATAAATAAATAAATAAATAAATAAATAAATAAATACTCAGCCCCCCTTGTTTAACTCCCTAAACATGCTAAACATAATCTCACTCCACAAATTCTCTTGTGTCAACTACATTTGCAAAACCCTGTTCTTAAATGCAAATAATGCTCTGAAACTCTTCCTGGACAGATGTAATAGGACCCATTATCACCACACCAGAAATAAATATCTCTTTGATATCCCCAGAGTCAAACTTAATCTGTGTAAACACTATGCAAATAAAGGGACCCAGTCTATGGAACTCACTCCCTATTGAATTGAAAAGCTGTCCAACTTTTACGTCATTCAAAAACAATGACGCAAAAACAAATTTTAATTTCAATTTCAATTTAATACATTATCATTATAACGGCTATCCATTAATTTTATTTCTGTATAATAATTTATGGTTATTCACTAATCATTATTAGTCACCATAATTAATTCCACTTTAATTATCTATTTATTCGTTATAATGAGGTATTATGCTTCTTCATTTAAGGATTATCAATTATTTAATCATTAATTAGGACTATTATTGTTAATTAATTATTTGTATTTATTAAATAATTAATTATTATTGTTATTATAAAATAAAATAAGTCCCCCACTCTGTGAGCGTTTTCTTCCAACCGCAGAAATAGTCACTGCTTTCACAACAAAGCGGTGAAGTTCTGTGAGGAAGAAAATGTATTACCATGATTTGGTGACTAACCGACTAAGTAGCGCGTGCGCGCATCGAGCGTGGTACTTAAAAGCGCGCCCGCGGACTCGGCAAGTCCATCTGGTCACCACTTGGTCCGGGAGACATCTCTCGTCACGCAGGGTGCAGTCGCGCCTCCACACATTTCCAGTATCAGCTCTTGATACTGGTAATGGCTCAAAAGGGCCACCACTTACGAGCTATTCATGCCCGTGCCACCTTTTGAGTGGCTTCATCTTCATCTTAACACATTCACAAAGGAGACATCTCCCGTCACGCAGGGTGCAGTCGCACCTCCACAGATCTCCAGTATCAGCTCTTGATACTGGTAATGGCTCAAAAGGGCCACCACTTACGGGCTATTCATGCCCGTGCCACCTTTTGGGTGGCTTAATCTTCATCAATCAATCAATCGACTCGGCAACCTCTCATGCTCGCCTCCTCCTCGCCAGATACACTACAAAACGCTCCGCCGCTATCCGTTACACGTGGACTACGATGCCGGTACCTCAGTCGACTACTCGCCTTCGACATAGCCTTCCGGTACCAGACCGAAGACTCGTGCCATCATCCCAGCTCCCCCACAAGAACCAGGTGCTGCATCTTCTGCCAGTGGTGGGCCTTCCCCTGATGTAGAGTGGCCACTTCCTGGTTCTGGGTTAATGTCACCTACTGTGAGACCACCATCCACAGCTGGACCCCACAGTCAAC